AAGGAGGAGAATAGAGCCCCTGTTGACCGGTAACACCCGCTGTGAAAAGATAAGATATTCTTTACTATGTATAAAAATGCATGCAATGTCAAATGACTCACTAAAGATAAAATATATAAAAGGTTACATAATTGTATGCCTCATATAATCTCAAACGGTTAAATGTAATGTATAAAGGAGCTGCTACAGACTTATGAAAGGGGATCAGAATTTTACACAGGAATAAATACCGGGGTATGCAAAAATGTTATGCATATCACTTTATGAAATATTGACATATGATTACATGATCAGTACGTACTGGTCCCTGCCGACAAAGCAGGTAACAACATTGTCTTCGTTTGTAAGGCTCATTATATAAATTGTATTTTAGAAAAACTTGGATTGAAATTCTACAAGTGATAATCATACGTATACCCATACTTCCCTTTCTAAGGAAGAAATTCTTCAAAATCATGTCAGTTTTAAATATTTTTAATATTCCACATAGCCAAAATTAATTTGAACTATCCTTTACTATATATATTGGGCCCCCGGAGGAGCAAAAAGATTCCAACAAACTTTATAAAAATCCTGAATATAAACAAAGTTACATACAAATATATATAATTTATACATTGAAACTGGGAAAGAGGTATATAATTTTTTATGCTTATCACAATAAATGTAAATTCTAAGGAATGCAGCAAGTGATCTAAGGATGTCTGGGTCTTCATTAGTCATGAGCCAATAAAATTGATTATCTAAGATAGAGATTGAAAATTTTTACATTTAATTTTACAAATATAGAGAGTACATTAAGATGAGGACATACAAGGAGAAAAAATGAATCTCGTTGTGATGACAAAGTATTCGTTCCTCTCTAGGTATTTTTTGTGCAATTTCAATTTTAATATATTAACTTTGTTAAAAGAAGATTGGTGTGAATCAAAACAAAATTTAGTCTTTATGCTGGTAAAGGTAGACAATTTGCCATCTTTATGTAAATTCCTGTCTTTTTCCCATTTTAATTTATAGAAATTCAGTAATATTCTTTTCAAATTGGTTTTAAATTGTGGGGTTGACATACTATATATATTGGATTCCGAAACTTTATAAAAATCCTTACAAACAAAGACATTTCCAGTAAATGAATTCATAAGAAAAACTTCAAGAGTACTGTGCAACAATATATTCAAGAAGTGGTGTGAATCAGATGTGGATACTCAAAAATTCCAAAGAACTTTTGGACAATTTGAATTCATAAGATTTTACCAAAATCAACAGCTTAAAAACTTACTTTTCAACTTTATACACAACCATTACCCACGATAAATTAAAGTCCAGGCTTTTTGATATAATTGACAGCTGCTTTCTCAATAAAAATGGAACTCGTAAATTTAGTTACCTACATGGTCATCGGTCATTTGCAAAATTATTTTGTTAAAACACATTTTGATTGCACACACAAGTACTCTGAAGTTGACATCGAAAAGATGCTTGAGTTTCTGATTGACAATATCAATGTGGTTTTGGAGTCCAACAATCTATTTGAATTCCCATGGGTACCATTGCGACCCATTATTAGCAGACCTATTTTAATATTCAAATGAAGCAGAATTTGTGCAAAATTTTATGCGTGAAAAGAAAAAAAAACACTTGCTGTGGCAACTGGACATTTAGATATATCAACGAAGTATTTTCAATTAACAATGGTAATTTCCATTCCTACGTCGATACGATATATCCTGGTGAGATAAAAGATACAACAGAGTCTGACACATCTGTTTCATGCTTGGATATTCTACTTGAAATAGACGTTAATGGTAATCTAACAACCAAGCTATATGATAAACGTGATGACTTTTAACTTTTCTATCGTCAACTTCCCTTACTTATTTACCTTCATCACCTGCATACGGAGTGTATATATCTCAGTTGATTCGATACGCAAGAGCATGCTCTATATATGAACAATTTCTAAAACGAGGTACATTATTGACAAGCACGTTGATGAAACAAGAATATCAGCAGTCTCGTTTAAAGTCGTCATTTCGTAAGTTCTATGGTCGATACAATGACCTTGTCAACAAAACAATTTATCATTGAGTCAAATGCCGACTGACGTTTTTCATACTAATTGTTAGTCCATTATTTATACACTGACACCCCTACTAATGTTTTTGTGATTTAAATTCAAGACACGTGGAATAGGTTTACCTATTCAAAGGTTAAAGGGTAGAACCGGTTTTATAAATAAAATTGGCAGTAAACAGGAAATTGCTATAGTCTGTTTCTTCTGAAAACATGTCCTGTGAAAAATGTGTTTCCAGACCTTTCTGAAAGACTTTCATGATTTTCAACAGAAATGGGTGGCTAAAAAAAGGGGGGGGGGATAAATAAAAATTATTTAAATACATCTTATCATAGTTTACTGCAAAAATTACAGCTCAATAGCGACCGATACGTATTATCTACACTGACAAACCTTTGTTTGCCTTATATGGCTATTGCTATTAATGCGCACAGGGGATCTTACCATGAGCAACTGACCAATTGTTGATTGAATATGTTTACGCCAAATACATGTTTACATGTTACTTCGAACACGTGGTTCAGGTCAATCTATGTCAATGGAGTTCAAAATAAAAAAAAATGTTCTTATGAACAAAATGCAAACAAAACAAACTATGAAAGATATCACGGGGCTCACGGGCGTTTTAATTTGTTGTTTACTAGAGAAAAATATGTTTTATAAAATGTATACGTAGTTAGTGTCAAGTTCAGAACACCAGTACTTCAAGGTTAAGGAAAACGAGCAGCTTCTCGTATGCATTTAAATGGACAAAACATTTTTTACCTAACTATACTCGTACTCGTGTGTTGGCCAGGGAATCTACCTCAGATAATTGTATTCACCGATAGTACAATAAAAGAATTTATCAAGCGTAAAATTCCTGTAGTATTCATAGTAACCCATAATGCAATTCTCATTCAGCTGATTTGTTTGTTAAAGTCACATTGGTACCTCATTTGCTAATCTGACGCCAAAAATATAGTCCCGGATCCCATGCAAAATATTTGTCCAAAAAGAAGTTTTAATTCATGACAGCAGAAAATTGTATTTAATACTTATTATTTAAACTTGAATGAATTCAAGAGAGATCTATTGAAGTACATTTCTACAGAATGATATTATAGGGTGTTGAAAACTAAAACGCAACATAACTTTTCTGTTTACCATGTCTCCACGTGCTAGCCACTTCCTAGCCACATTTCCGTGAATAATTTACCCTATCTCGCTAAAGTCTCGCTAACTCTCGCCAGAGCCACTGTCAGAGCTATTCTGGACTCATCGGGTTTGATAATTTGCAGAACACCGAAAAAGAAAAGGTTCCGAACACATTAGAAGGGGTGACTGAATTGACGACGGTTTTTTTTCGTTATTTCCCGATCATCACAAGGATCACACGGCGGGTTTGACCGGTCAGCAGGGGATGCTCAATCCTCCATGGCACCTGATCCCACCTCTGATGTTTCGGAGGTCCGTGTTTGTTCTACTCCTATTTTGTATTGTTTTATGGACTTTTATATGGAATACTGTTAGTTATCTCCATGTCCTTCTCGGCACTCAGGTCCATTGAGCAGTGAGGGATCTTGATCGTGCCAACGCCTGTCGTGACATGGGACCTCGGTTTTTAAGGTTTCATCCGAGGGACCCGCAACTTTCACTTCAAATGGCTGTTGGGGAAAGAGTTGCCACTATTTTTTATCGACTTAGGTCAGTTGCGGCCGAGATACGAACTCGCGACTTCCCGATCACGAAGCGAGCGCTCTACCGATTGAGCAGCCTTGAACGGTAACCTACCTGACAAATAGATCAAATAATGACCTTCATATATAATAATATGCTGTCAAAGTTGCTGAAAATGACAGTTTATGAGTGGTTAATACACAGCAGTTTGAGTAAGTAAGGCAAGATTTGGAGTAGATCCAAGATGTTACCCAGGAAGAACACCCTTTAATCTCTCGAAGCTCTCAAAATAAAAAAAAAAATAAAACGGTGAAGATTGATCTAAAATTAATCTTTTTTCTTACTTTTTTAAGTGACTGGATATTTTAAGTAGAAGATAATCTCATAAAAATATAGTGAAGTAAAGAGCTCAATTTTGTTATGTATCATTAAAAAAAGTCCTTTAAAATAACATTTTGACATAGGCCACAGTGATAAAGAATTTTAAACGAAATCTCTTTATTAGTAAATATCATAAGCATGGCAGAAAAGATGAGGCAAAATTAAATTTTGCAAAACACTGACTGAAATGGCTAAAAAATTTAAATACGCCAGAATCTTTGCGGTGAAATCTTAAAGACGATGCCCAGTAAAGGAGTTTCTACATAGATATACAAAATAGTGTCCATACTAGTGTGAAGATCTTTGTATTTTTTTCTCGCCAGATAAAATTTGCATATGATTAACAGAATGTTTGATAAACAGGGTACAAAAATATCACTAGTAATGTAGGACGTCTCTGTCCACTTAATTATTTAACAATAAAAAATAAAAAAGCACGTGAATAGTACATTTTATTTATCTAACAAACAAATAAATAATCAACAAAAAATATTTTTTTTAATTGGTCATGAAAGTATAACAAACAAAAACTTACATGCGGTTTTCTTTTTGAAACATATCACACATATTCGTTTATAAAACAAAACTATAAAGGAAATAATTAAACAATAATTTACCAATGTAAATTTTACTTTGATCATCTTTTTAAAATTGCCACATCTATTCAATAACAAGAGTCGATATACTAGTACTGTAGTGTATTGTTAATATTTATCGAGAAATGATCATTTATTACGGGTGAATGTAAAACCATGAAAACAGTTCAGCTTTTACTCCGCATCATTAGATAAAGACAAGTCTTTTATCTTGATATATATATATTGAAGCGTTCCATAACAAAGATTTTATTAAAGTTATACTCTGGTAAATATATGTTTATCTACAAATCATAATTATATTTCTTTCTTGGTTTAAAACAATATTACTTGTATTATACAAAGATCTTATCGAACTTGTATGTGTTAGTTACCAGTGGCGCCGCCTTTCGGTGGCCCTGATAACCCAAGTCCTGCAATAAAGACATTTAAAACAACGATTATAAGCATGATAAACATGCTGATCTCATCACATCTCTCTACTGTCAAACACGAGGAGCAAGAACAAATCACTCCTTTTGCCTGTTCTGATATGACACTAACACTTGAAGATGGCGTACCTGGCTGACTTGAAGACTTTTTGTGAGACATTTCAGCTTCTCTTTCCTTTCTCCATCTATGAATCATTAGCATTCCAAACCCGATGTGAAATAATAGTGAAAATCCGATCATAATTAATAATGGAATGTAATAGCTATTCTCTGAACCTCCGTCCAACACAACGCGGAGCTGGGAAACGTTTGCCGCCAATAGTGAAGCGTCACATAATTGTCTAACAAAGTTCTGTCTGTCTGCAAATGGACTTTTGGAAGACGATGTTTGCTGTTGTCCATCAACTTCCTGCAAATTATTAAAGAATGTTTTAAATTGAAAAACAAAATAACATACAATCAATCAGTGAAATGTAACTTATTATTTAGAAATACTTATCAATGTAATAAAATACTGAATATAGATTATATAGAGTTTTTGGTTTTTTGTGGACACATGTGTCAGTTTTTTTTAAAGTGTTTATGTCAAAAGATTTACGTCTATAAAACTTACATCTCTACGTGGAACAGGGTCTCTGAAATCTGCAACGTCGTTTGCAGCACGTATCTGAAACAAAATGCACTCGGAATTGTATTTGAATAAATTATATTCATATATCATTGACCTCTTAATTTTTCATTTGAAATACGTATTCTAAATCAAAAGAGCCGGTAAATGAGAAGAAATTAACTCACAGGTAAAGTATCTGGTCTTCTGCTTGACGTGAGGTCTTCTCTTTCTGTGCTTGTTTCTCCGACAGGCATGATGTCAAGTTTTACACTATCTTTGTTCAGACTGCTCGGCATTTTAGAACGCTGTGAACAAATATCCTTCCTTCTCTAGGTTTTATACTATACGAGTACTCAAGATGGGGAAATACATTTTATTAATTTACAGGAAAATCCATGCTTGACCTTGACATGAGCATATTCATTTTGTGGAAATTGTTTCTATTCCTGTTATTTCGGTTTATTTTTCAAAGTCACTTTGTATTTTCTAATCTCCTCTTGTTTCTGTAAAAATCTCCAACGTTTAGACATCAGCATACAATAAATAGTGAAGCCAGAGCGTTTTGAATTTTTTGAACAATACAGGATTGAAATGTTTAAAGTGTTGTTAGTTGAAATTTTGGATACGTTCAAGATGCGCTCATTCGAGGTCATTGGTTTTGGGATTTGGGAACCGATTTTTTTATGAATATATATTTGCTTGTGTAATGTTAACTATGTTTAAAAATCTGATTGATCATAGAGTATTTGTGGACAGTTGTTTTCTGGTGCATTTCATTATCTTATATAGATACAGTGATAAACGGAATGGCAACATTTCTTTTTGTTATAGAAAAACAATGATATGTAGAAATGAGTAAAAAGCATAAGTATGACAATAATATAGTATACTCCAGTATCAATATAAGAACTGTCCTAGTGGTGTGCATATAATCCCGCATATTCAATAAAAATATTTGTAGATATTATATTTATCATGTAGTTATAACATGATAATTAAAGCAATATGACAAATTTTTTGTTGCAAATTGTAAATAAATATGACAGAAAAAAGAAGTTTATCCTAGTGGTGTGCATATAATCCCGCATATTCAATATAATGACAGAAAAAAGAATGTTTATAAGCTTCTGTTGTTCATATTTGCAATAAAAATATTTGTAGATATTATATTTATCATGTAGTTATAACATGATAATTAAGTGATTTTTCGACTTCATCGACGGAAATACCGCTTGTGACGTTCAAGCCTAACATCAATTTATCAATGATATTTTTATTAATAAATAAATGTCCTTGTATATTCAGAATATTTCATATTTCTTTTGCAAACAACAAGAAACGAAATGTAAGATATCATTTTCTATGTTACACTCAAAGGAAAAAAATCAGGCGACGCTGTTCCCCATAGCCAAGAAACCCCATGTTATATTATGTATCAATATGCTCAGGTAGATGCTTTGCTGTTTTCTGTTCGAAGCATTTGTAATAAAAATTAAGGTCAAGTGCTTTGAAAAAAACCTGTTATTGCGAAGGTGAAAATGCATTATTTTCAATTCTGCACAATCTAGAGCACTTAAGAGTTCTTCTAAATTCTTTTCCGTATAATTTATTGTCCAGAATCCCTTGATTCAACACTATGTTCACTTCCCTCATCAATAGCAATCTCGGTAATTTTCTTCTTCATTCGCAGACGTATCTCCAACACAACATAAGTGACTAAGGAAAGGGCACCAAGTGAAAACATCATATATAGCCTCGTTCTGACACATAGATAGTATGCCAGTATAATATTAATTGTGTAGCCTATCGCACGCCACGTGGCTATGCTGGCAAAGGCCCCATCTGTCTTTTTCGGGTACATATATGATACTACAGCTGAAATAGAGAAGACATGTAATTACACTCACTGAAAATTTGCGTAAAACATGCCAATTTTTCCCTGGTACTAGTATAAAGATCACAAGCATAGAATGGATACAAAAAATGGTAACGATTGGGTTCCTGGTAGTTGCTCAAATATTCGTGTTATAAGTATATGTAATGAAAAGGGTAAGATAACATGTGATCGATCTAAAAAAAAATCTATAAACAATTCAAATCTTTCACGAGGGCATAAAACACGACCCTGTAAATTCCAGGGGATCGGGGGATCAGGTGCCAAGGAGGAGATAGAACCCCTGTTGACTGGTCACACCCGCCGTGAAAAGATGCTGTAATCTCAAATGACCAACTAAAGATGAAAATATTAAAGGGTTGCATAATTGTATACCTTACATAGTCTCGAACGGTTAAATGTAATGTAAAGAAGCGCTGCTACAAACTCCAATGGATGTCTTAAACTTATTCCTTTACATAAAACCTAATATTTTTCTATACTATTCCTCTACACAAAACCCAATATTTTCTATACATTTACTTACTAAATATTAAAGTACGGAATCCGCCATCCAGTATTCCATGTAGAGAGAGGAACCCCAGCATGTGTAACAATTGGTCACTGGTCGGTTCCCACAGAAACAAGCCTACATGCGAAGCAAGGATACCAACGATTATTAAAGATATCACGTATTTTCTACTGATCAATTTAGCAAGTGCTGGAAGGACAGCAGAAGAAAATCCACTGAAGAGTCCTTGCAAGGCCATTGAGAATCCAACGTACTTCACACCAAAGGGGCAGCTGATATAGGCCTAAGGAATAGCATAATGTTTAAAGAAAGATATTCAATCTTAATGTTTTTCATGTAATAATGATAAATGCTAGTTACAAGAAAGAATTAAATATAGACCTTAGAGATGTCAATCCACAGGAAGGACTCAAAAAATGAAAGGAATAGGGCGGATGGGATAAGAAGAATAAGATTTGCCTCAGTGTTTACGCGCAGACATGAACAAGAGGCTGATATCATGTTCCTTAAAGCGCTTTTCTGTGATGACGGCAGAAGATTTGGGAGTGGTGGTAAAAAGAAAATGCACAAGAGAAGACCAATGATACTGGACGTTACGAACACTGTCATGAGTATTTTGACGGTCAGTGGATCTGGCAAGGAGAACTGTTCATCTGTTACGGTATGTTCTGGACACAAATCTGCTCCACATGATTTTATCCTGAATGAATCCGAAGCATTGGCTGTTGTTTCATTGTAATGCCCTTGCATTAAGATAACAGACGAAAGAATATTTCCAACCAGTCTAGGAAATGCCATACCGAAGAAAAATATCCCATGGAATTTGCCAAAGCTATCCTTCATTGGAGAATTTTGTGTTTCCGAGAACGAGATAGCACAACGTGATATGTACATCCCTTGCGATGTCCATATTAGCCCGGAAGTCAGTCCAACAAAGGTAGAGGCCGGAAGTATCGTCCAAAATACAGCGTAAATATTACTTGCTGCATACGCCACGTGAGAAATAAACCCTATGATTAAACACTTTTTAGCGGTCAAAATCCTGATAAATGAAGGAGCGAAAAATGAGGAAACTATGAAGCCAGCGTAGACCACGGACAGAGAAATCACTCCGCGCCCTGCCTCGTTGTTAAGAGTACTCTGTAAGTTTTGAATTCCAATAAAACCGCTGAAAATTGCCACAAAAATTATCGATAAGATTAAAACAGTTCGCTTTTCGTTTCTATTGATATCCTTTTTAGGTCTACAAGAGCTCAATAAACCCATGTCCTTGTATCAATGGAATACACACTAAGTTTTCCAGATATCAGAGAACGATAATCATAATATGTGAATAAGGTCATGTCCACGTAGGTCAACTCGAAAGATAGCACATATTTCCATAATATGATGATATTCTAAAGATAGAATATAAAGGGCAGCGAAAAAGACAAAATGATGGTGGACGAACGTAACAAATTCTATGTACTCTGGTCATAACGGAGGAAAATATTTGAAGTAAACTTGCTACATGTACTATAATTTGTTCGTATTCAAAGAAACACGCAGGACAGGCATATATACTGAGAGTATTACAGTAGCAAAATCAAGAACACTACCGGCAAGTGTAATCTGGTTCCTGTTAAAAATGTCATAAAACCATCAGAAATCATTGAACAAAATGCAACCTTCGTAAATAAGTCATTAAGGTTTTGTTTGTTTTATATATTGTTTTAGGTCCCTCTCGAGGAATTCTTCACTCATTTTTCAACACTTACCAGAAGAAATCACTCAGGGCCATTTAGCAGTGAGGGATATTTTTCGTGCCAGCACCTACTGAGACACGAGACCTCAGTTTATACGGTATCATCCAAAGGACTGGTCTACACTTCCCACAGTGGGATTCGAACCCGCGATGTAATGATTAACTCCTTACTCCGTGACTCTAGAACAGACGCTCTGACCACTTTGCCACGCGGGCGACATTACCTACAACATGTACAAGGACGTAGTAAAAATAGCGGAAATTGCTCAGAAAAAAAAAACACTTGCCAAAATTTAGATAAACTCCCATCGTATCGTTTAGAAAAAAATGCGGAAAACCAAGCGAAAAAACTGTAAGACAAACGAATGAACAGACAGACGGACAAACGTATAGGAAACCTATAGACCCCTCATGATTCATCGGTACGAAATTTATTAACTATTTGGGGAACTTTTGCAGAGTTAGCTTGTATCAGGGTAGTAACATTATTCATTCTAAAACTTTTAAGTAAGAAGAACATCTGTTGTGGCCTTCAGCTCAGCATTTAGATATATCGACCTATCGTCAATTTATTAAATAGTAAATTCCATCCAAAGGGCTATTCGATATATCCGATTGAGGTAGATATTAAGATACTTTACACATCTTTTCACCTTCCGATGTCTTATAGGCGTTTACAGTTATATTAATTTATTCATGGAACGTTATCTGTGTTTATATCATTTTGAATTATTTTTATTTCACCAAATCCATAGGAATCAGTCTAGAGAAGAGGGCACCTTGATGGGCACAAGGTGGTTGTTTCCCGCTATACATGTTTTACTATTAGAAACTAGCTAAAGTAATAAACAGTTGTGTGCCCCAATAAAGAGCACCTGATGACCTTTTTTTCTGCTAGTGAAAAAATTTCTGACCCCCCCCTCCCCTTCCTCAAAAAGCTATTCATGGAATACTTGATATACCGACTGAATTTTTTCTTTCTAAAAACAAATGCGTATTCTGCTTCATATGAATACAAAAATAGGTCTGCAAATTACGAGGCGCAATTGGTACCCATGCCATGGGAATTCCAAAAGACTGTTGGAAGACTTGGTTTTCAAAAACCACATAGAAACTCACGCATCTTTTTATGTCATCTTTAGAGTACTTGTGAATACAATCAGAAAGTTTTTACCAAAATAATTTAGCAAATGACCAATGACGAGGTAAGTAAATTTACGAGTTCCATTTTTATTGATAAAGCAGTTGTCAATGATATCAAAAAGTCTGGACTTTGATTTATCATGATGATCGTGTATAAAAGTTGAAATGTCGTTAGTTTTCAAGCCGTTGTATATCAATAAGAAAAAAAGGAAAACGTTTTGCAACAAGTGAGCTGCTCATAAAATCAAATCAGCATCCACTTATATATCTGCTTTTGTGAAAGTATATTAACAGAGTACAGTAACAATGACCATGAACGCACGTAAACAGCCTGCTATATACGACGGCTGTTCAATGAATAATGTCACGAGCTCGATGACATACAACATAGAAATGATATGACATTAAGATTGACTTTCTCTCATTATTGAATCTTTTATTGAACAGTTTATGTGACCACTTTTCATCACATAATCTCATTCTGGAAAGCTGGAAAACAAGGGCTATTCGAGACACTGCAATAAAAATGAATGGTAAAGATTTAGTATACTACAGTGAAATTAAACGCTTCATTAAAGCTGCTGTAAAACTTGTTAATAATCCAAAAAAAAAAAATTACTGAAATATATTAAATTTCCAGCAACCAATGTCTGTTTATACACACATGAGCAGGTGGATTTCAAAAAATGATATAATGGGCAACAAAAAATAAGTTTAAAAAAAAGTAATAAAAAATCGGCCCTGCCGTCATATTTTGATTATGGTAACAGACGACTAAATGTTCTCCAGACCAGACTTCGACATAATTGTGCATTGAATAATGACCTTTATAGATGCAATTTAATTTCAAGTCCCTTATGCTCTTGTGACAAAAAAGAGAAGCCAGAAAGGAATTTTTTGATAGATGTTTAATATTTGATACAATTCATATTTTAGATATAGATGTCTTATTATGGGGGGTAGATTCAAACATTTATCAAACATTCTGGCAGATTCGCATGTTAGTATTATTGTTATCATATTTTATTTATTCATACATGCATGTACATGTATACATAAAATTATATGTATGATTCTTTAAAAATGCATTGATTTGTAAATTTTGTACATATTGAATACTTTGAATGTACAAATTTCACTGTGACTTAATTGAATTTTTTGCAATTTATATGTAGGGTACCCAATCCCTTTGTAATTAGAAATTACAATAAAATATTTTCAAACCAACAAAAAATGGTACCATCCTTGGCGACAAGGACTTACAACATTCAATGTACTGTTTGCGAAAATTCAACAAATTATCAATGATTATGTTTGATTGACTTTATTTCAAGACAAATAGCAAATTCATAGGCATCATTTTTTTTTTGGGGGGGGGGGGTAGTTCACAATGTTTTTAAAGAAATATTTGATAGTAAAAAAGTTTAATACTCAAAGGTCACCCAATATTTTGAAAAATGAGTGAAAATGACAGCGTGTATGAACATCTAAACAATTATTTGAGAAATAAAAAAAAATTGTATTTATCCATATTTGTCTGAAATTCAAACAGATAATGAAACTTGAATCCATTTTGCTTTAATCCCTCAAAACAAATTTACAATGAGAAACACTTGACAAAACAGCAAATGCCTGAAAAGAACAAATACATGTAATTGCAAGAGCACAATAAAAGTTTTATATATTTTCTTAAATATTAGTGGTCTTGTTTTTCAAATTCTTATTGGGAGGGGGGGGGGGGTAATTTCAATTTCTGGAAGAGTCTAGAAAGCAAGTGTTTTGCTAAAAAGTAAAAAAAAAAGAAACTTAATACTCAAAGGCCCCCCTATGTTTTGAAAAATGAGTGAAAAAAACAGCGTGTATGAATATCGAAACAATTACTTTCAAAAATCAAAAATTGTACTTGTTCACGTTTGTCTGAAATTCAATCAGATAATAGACTTGAGTCTATTGCTTTAAACCCTCAAAAGAAATTTACAAAGATGCACTTGACGATACAGCAAAGGCCTCAGAAGAGCAAAGAATTGCAATAGCACTAAAACAGTTTCATATGCTATATTTTCTTAAATATTAATGGTCTTGTTGGTCAATTTCTTATTCGGGGAGGTAGTTCAAATTCTGGAGGAGTCCAGAAAGCAAGTTTTTTGCAAAATATCGAAAGGTTTATGACAGGAAGGAACCAGAATCAGAAATCCACTCCATGAAGGTATGGAGATAACGAACAGTACTCAATATCAAAGTCCATAAAACAATACAAAGCAGGAGCAGAGGAAACATGGACCTCTAAAACATCAAAGGTGGGATCAGGTGCCATGGAGGAGTGAGCATCCCCTGCCGACCGGTCACACCCGCCTGTGCTCCTTGTTATGATCGCTAAAATAACGGGAAAACCCGTCGCAATTCAGTATATAAATAATGGACTAAAATTAGTAAAACGTCAGTCAGCATTTGACTCAATGATAAATTGTATTTGCTGACAAGGTCATCGTATCAACCATAGAACTTACGAAATGGTGACTTTAAACGAGACTGCTGATATTCTTGTTTCATCAATTTGTTTGTCAATAATTAACCTCGTTTTAGAAATTGTTCAAAAGAGCAAGCTCTTGCGTATTGAATGAACTGAGATATATAAACTCCGTATGCAGGTGATGAAGGTATATTGCTGAATAAGTAAGGATAGTTGACGATAGAAAAGTTAAAGTCATCATCCATTTCTTCACGACAGCGCCCAAACCAACAGGCCATGAAGATTAAAGGAGTTTTGGGGATAAACAGAAAGTTCATGTTCTGTCACACCAACAATATTCGCCAGATCTTTCAATCTTTGACTTGTTTTATTTCCCAAACTTGAAAAAACACCTTTCAGAAAGAAAAAAAACAAGTACAGGAAATCATAGGATCTGCCATATTCCAGTTTACGAAGGGCCATACTCAAAAATGTGAGAAGAAAGCCCAAACCACTTCTCCTTTATGTTTTAAACTCTGATATATACACCCCGAGTCCTCTGATATATCAACGTTAGTTTTACAGAGTCTAGAGGCATTAGGGGTTTGACTTATTAACATATTTAATTGGATGTTACAGGGTTGATCCACCCACATCTTTAAAAAAATCCAATTAAAGTATCCACAACATGTAGAGCACCAGTGCCTTTATCGTCGGTAGCCCACGGGTGATTCACATCGATTCTCTCTATCAAGACGTGGGGGCTTTTGGACTCAACCCGTGATTGTGAAGATGCATGCCAGGTACCACAGAATACGTAACACGCATAATATGTCAAACGAAAGAGCCACGAAGGTAAGGGTTCACCTTCAACATAATAAAGGCATTTTGGTCGTAAGGTGAAAGGCTTCAGTCACAGTCGGGGTCTAAGTAGGACAGTATCTGATAAAGTAGGAGAAAATGGAAGTGTTTGTTAACAAAAACAAAAACACTTTCACTGGATTAAGAGTACAAACTTCGTATCGTTTCGAATCAATGTCCTCGAGTAAGTTATGAATACTACTTTCCAAAAATCACCCACTTAAAATGAAACACCATTACTTTCCTTTTCCCGTGCATGTGACTACTATCAAATTAATCCACAAAACTGAGGATACAATGAGGTCATGGAGCGGAAGGGATTTATTGCTATTTATCAGACATACATGTGCCTCTGTATGATATTAATAATATTCCATATAAGAAATTATTTACTTATATTGTAATTAGTTAAATCTGGTTCATTAAGGATTCTTTGTTTAAATAGACATTGGCCTCGGAATGATAAATCAACACCCTCCATAAATTAGCAACAGTCAACATGCTTTGATGCTGGACGATGTATCATCCATAAATAATGACTGTACAGAATCCAAACGCGCATGGTTCACTGTTATACGTATTTGCTTTTTAAAAATGACATAGAATTATGAATACTGCATGTAATTGAGGCTAAAGTTAAAAATGATCATCCATCCAAAACCATGCTCAACCGCATCTTCGTCTTGGTTAACCATAGATTCCTTGGAGTGAAAAACTTCAGTAATCATAAACTACATGTTATATTTAATAAGAATGACTAAAAAGTATTCCATAAATCTTTGTGAATTGAGCGGATTTTATTTAAAATTTAGCTTTTGGATAGCTTTAGGATAATTTGTAGATCCATAAATACCATAGTCATAACTTTTGAACAATTGGTGCTAGGGCTTTTAGTTTCACATAAGTATTTCTTATGTAAAGGTTTTTCCTGAATACCAACAATTTTTACCCTTTTACCTTCACCTTGGGCTTGGAGTTATACCTATTTTAATAAAAATAACGTTAAGTTAACTTTTGAATGGTTGGCGCTTCATGCTTCTTATTTAACAGTTACAGATGTATAATGATTGAGACAAGACCTTTCTTTGGCTAGCAACATTTTTGATCTCTTGACGAATATGACTTTTATTTGAGAAATTGTATCTTCACCAGAAGCTGTAATACAATGGCAACAGTTTTCATAAACACACCTCGTGTTTATATCTGTACATGTTCAAAAGTGAAACCTTTTATCATGGCCATCAACTGAAGTCCGGCTAATTCATTGGTTCACCTGTGAGTTGAGTGGAAACGGAAATAGGAAATAAAACAAGGGACGAAAATTTCTTTGAATACAGTATCTTACAATAAAGAAGAGAAACATTCGTTTAGAGTACTTTTTAAAATCATATCTATACAAAAAAATATAAATAAATAAATAAAAAATAAATAAAATAAAATACATGTAGTCAAGAAACAAATTTTCTTGGATTAATTTGGACATAAAAGTTTGCAAATCATAATTTATTCCGATAGTTTCTATCAGAAAACACAATGCCAAAATTTCTTTCAAGATAAAACAAAGCTAAAAAGGAAACTAAAAAATATCCAAATAATGTATGTACATGTATGTAAAAATAAACTTCAGCCGTTACCCCGCAGCATTAGACAAAGATGATAGTCAAGTTTATCGAGACCTTTGGCACTTTTCTATAATAATTTCGATGCCACCATAATCGAAGATTCGGGGGTGTAGAGTTTTTGCCCTGTCCGTCCGTTTGTTCGTCATTTTGTTTGTTTGTGTATTCCTTGTAATAAGACCTTTCTTCGGGTACCACCAAATTTGACGTCGTGACCTTGACGCAGGGGATTGGCCAATTTTTACCAAAAATTTCCGAAATTTGACCTGGGCCATAACTTTTGAATAGATGGTGCTAGGGCTCATTCATACCTCACATGTGTATTCTCTACGACAAAACCTTTTGCTGAGTGTAAAAATATTTGACCTTTTGATCTTGACCTTAGAGTTTTTCTCACTTTAAAAAGATTAACCTTGACCAAAACTTTTGAACCGTGAGTACTAGGGCTTTCATATTTCATAGGTGTATACCTTGTGACAAGACCTTCCCTTGGATACCACCAATTTTGACCTTGACGTTTGACTTGTATTTGAAAAACTTCAACCCTGGTAATATGCTGTCATACGGGGGCATTAGTGTTTCACAAACACAAACACATTGATTTAATATTATTAAACAACGAGGTTCTTGAACTCTTGTCGCCCTCGTGGCGCAATAGTTAGAGCATCTGCTATAGAGTCGCGAAGTAAAGAGATGATCCTTATCGCGGGTTCGAATTCCATTGTGGGACGTGGAGACCGGTCCTTCGGATGAGACCGTATAAACCGAGGTACCTTGTCGTAGTAGGTGCTGACACGAAAAAAGATCCCTCACTGCTCAATGGCCCTCAATGCCAAGTATATGAAAAAAAAATTGTAGCTCTCCACCAGTAAGTTATGCGTCTCCATATGAGTGAAAAATTCTCGAGAGGGACTTAAACAACATACAATCAATCAATAAATCTTGAACTCTAATTAGTTCCACCTCTCGATGGCCCTGATAACCCAAGTCCTGCAATAAAGACATTTAAAACAACGATTATAAGCATGATAAACATGCTGATCTCGTCACATCTCTCTACTGTCAAACATGAGGAGCAAAAACAAGTCACTCCTTTTGCCTGTTCTGATAAGGCGCTAACACTTGAAGATGGCGTACCTGGCTGACTAGAGGACTTTTTGTGAGACATTTCAGCTTCTCTTTCCTTTCTCCACCTATGAATCATTAGAAATCCAAACCCGATGTGAAATAAAAGTGAAAATCCGATCATCAATAATAAGGGAATATAATAGCTGTTCTCTGAACCTCCGTCCAACACAACGCGGAGCTGGGAAACGTTTGCGGCCAACATTGAAGCGTCACACAATTGTCTAACAAAGTTCTGTCTGTCCGTAAATGGACTTTTGGAAGACGATGTTTGCTGTTGTCCATCAACTTCCTGCAAATCATTCGCAAATCTTGGGAATTTTAACATTTTATGTTATTTATCAATATAAAAGTAAATTGTTTTAACTACTTACAGGTCTTAACTTTGTCACATTATACGCTTATAGCAATTATCTGAGGTCATATGTCAAAATTAGTTTCTAGAAACTAAAGCTTAATAGTTTTCAAATTTAAAAAAGTTCTTTTCAATGTTTTGATGAGATTTTTTCATATGCTTCTTTCTTAGAGATGACCATCGATTTATACAACACATGCGGGTTCGGTTTTGGCAAATTTCCTACTTCTTCCAGCATTTTCAGATTTTTTTCTGGAGTTTTTCAGTGTACAACACAAAACTATATGGTTAAGTGCTGCTCCGTGACGTTCTACGAGGTCTTCTTTGCCATTGAGGACTACTTATCTCTTGAAACTGATTTCTTTTTAACTAACTCAAATATCAAGTCTAAATGAAACGAGGTAACAATTTTTAATTTTTTTTCTTGAAATAAAAGAGATATCCTCGATTAGATATATCCTGGTGAGCTTGAGATAAAAGATACCACAGAGTCTGACACATTTCATATTTGGATATTTTACATGAAAAAGACGTTAATGCTAATCTAACAACCAAGTTCTATGATAAACGTGATGACTTAAACTTTTCTATCGTCAACTACCCTTACTTATGCAGCAATATTCCTTCATAACCTGCATACTGAATTTATGTATCTCAGTTAATCAGATACGCAAGAGCATGCTCTATGTATGAACAATTTCTAAAACGAGGTAAATTATTGACAAACGAGTTGATGAAACAAGAAGCAGTCTCGTTTAAAGTCATCAATTCGTAAGTTCTATGGTCGATACAATGACCTTGTCAGCAAAAAAAAATTTATCATTGAGTCAAATGCTGACTGACGTTTTTCATACTAATTGTTAGTTCCATTATTTATACACTGAATTGACGACGAATTTATTCGTTATTTCCGGATAATGACATGGAACACTCGGCGGGGTATGCTCACTCCTCCATCACCTTATCTCACATCTGATGTTTCGGAGGTTCGTGTTTGCTCTGTTCCTGTTTTGTATTGTTTTATGGACTTCTGATGTTGAATACTGTTCGTTATCTCCATATGTTTCATTTCAAGAACGAGTAGAATTTTCCCCGCGTTTTGTCATTTTACAGAAGATATTACTTCAGACATTATTCTTGTGTCTTGGTGGCAAATTACGAAATTTTGACTTGCTCTGTTATCTTATTTTTGCATTTTTAAGATCTAAACAATTTTAAAAAATTTAATACACGGTATTTGAATTCATTGTTGAAATATTTCTACCCAGGTAGGATATAATATGAAGTTAAGTGAAAAGCATATGGCGGTAGTCCGCAAACTTAACCTTCGAAGATATAGGATTTACTAAGTAATGTATAAAGTTTTCGGTTCATTAGGATTCATGTACATAAATGTTTTGCACGTGGCTTGAAGAAATATGTCTATAAAACTTACGTCTTTGGTTGATGAAATAGCGAATTCTCTGAAATCTACAGTGTTCTCCGAGTCACTAGTACTTCTCTGAAACAATATTAACTCTATATGTAAAATAATGGTATAAGAATTAATTACATGAAAATATTAATTCTCTGCATTTTTTCATTTGTATTTGCATCTTATTCAACAAAGCCTAATAATGAGGAGATAACTACTCACAGACACGGTATCAGGTCCATTTGACATGAGAAGATCCCTTTCTGTGCCTCCTTCCCCCTCAGGCATGTCCAGTTCTACACTACTGTATACAGTATCTTTCTTTAGACTGCTCGGCATTTTAGAAAGCTGTGAACAATTAAAATTCCTTGTCCAGGTTTTATATATACCAGATAGATTTTCTATATTTGATTAAACTACAGAAAACCCATGCAACCCCCATTGTGGGATTTAAAGCGAGTCGATCAATTTATATGTCTATTCATGTTATTTCGGGTAACTTTACAAAGTATTTTCTCCTAATCTTCTCTAGATTCTGAGAAAACCTCCAGCAAAGACATTAGCATAAAATACCGGATATATATTAACGCAAGAGTGTTACTGATTTATTCAAGCAATACAGGATTGTATTTTTTGTATTCTTTGAACGTCTTTGTTAGTTGAATTACCATACGATCAAGATTGGTTTTGACAATCGTCTTTATTTTCTACGAAATTATTTGCATATGTTATGTTAAATGTTTTAAATGTGTACATGCTAGAGACCGTGAAATTGATTTTGACAGTTGCTTTCTGGTGCATTTCATTATTGTATATAGATATCAGTTTTAATACGGTAAAGCTTCATTCCTTTCGATATAAAAAAAGATATATGTGAATTACAATTTACAAATCGGTTGCATTGTATGACAAATAATTTGGTGCATATCGATACTAGTACTAGAACTGCTCTAGTCGTGCAGATACATGTAACCCAGCACATCCAATTAAAAAAATGATTTGTAGATACATGTATACTACAGTGTATTTATCATGTACGAGGTACATGTAGTTACAACATGACAAGAGATTTCTCACTTCATTTGAAGGAAATACCACTTGTGACACAAAGTCCGAACATTGTTTTAGCAATGATATTTTTATTAATAGATAAATTTCCTTGTATATTCAGAATATTTGTTTTTCTTCTTGCAAAACAACAGGAAACGAAATGCAAGATGTCATTTTCTATGCCACACTCATAAGAAAAACTCAGGTGACGTTTTTTTCTCATAGCCCAGAAACTTCATGTTATATAATGTATCAATATTCTCAAGTTAATGCTTTGCCGTTTTCTCTTCGCATTTCCATTAAAAATCGTCATTGCTTTCTATTAAAATTAAAATGCACTATTCTAAATACTGCACAATCCCAAAACACTTTAGGCTTTTTTTTTTTAGCAATTCAACTTTTAAAAAAAAAAATTGATCAATTAAACCATTTGAAACAAAATATCATGTACACAAATGCTTAATGCAACAAAATGATACAAATACAATTATATACAATCACAATGTACATATGCAATTATTTTGATCAGAACATTCGCAGACGTATCTCCAAGACAACATTAGTGATCAAGAAAAGGGCGCCAAGTGCAAACACCATATCTAGCCTAGTTCTGACACATAGATAGAATAAATTGTGTAGCCTATCGCACGTTACGTGGCTATACTTGCAAAGCCCCCATCTGTCTTGTCTGGACTGGGTATATGTTAAAATAAAATTCTCACTGAAAATTCACTTATAACACATGCCAGTTTTTAAAAGAAGGTACAAACTGTTTTTTTTTTTTTTTTTTTTTTAAAAAAAGCTATAGGTTCCAAATACAAGTTCGACCAACTTTTTTAAACCAGGCAAACTACTCACAGATAAGATGACGTGGAGGGATTTCCAGATTAAGACCTCTTTATAAGTCGACATGTTTAAATGTTAGGTGAACACAGAATAAAAATACATTGAAAAATATATTTAACAGAATACAGTAACACTCAACCAGATGCTCTCATTTTTATTCAATAAAACGAATATAATATCTCAGTAACATATCTGTACTTGTAGCTTTAATTAAGATGGTGTTAATCCAAGTCCAGCCACCGCAACATTTAATACGACGATCAGAAACATGATATTCATGCTGATCTCGTCGCACCTTTCTACACTCTGGCATGGCGAACAGGGACAAATAATACCTTTTGCTGTAACAGCTTGGACATTTGTGTCAGAATTTGATTTTCCTTCCAAATCCGATTTCTTTTTATGTTCCAGCTCCGCCTCCCTTTCCTTTCTCCATCTTTGAATCAGTAAAAAACCAAAGACGATGTGTGACAGGATGGACAGACAAATCATGATGATTAAGGGCCAGTAGTAAGTGTTTTGTGAGCCCCCTTCTATAACGGCACGTAGCTGGGAGGCATTGGCAGCCAACACCGATACATCACACAGATTCTGAACAAATGTCCGTCTCTCTGAGAATAGATTTCTAGAAGGTGACTTCTTCTGTTTTCCGTCCTTAACCTACAATACATTTCATTCAGTTAAAAAATCAAGATGTTGCATTAGTTCAGTAAAAATATTTTCAGTTTGCTTTAATTACATTTCTTTTTATACAATAGAATCAATTATTTGCCAGTATTTAAGATTAAATTGTAAACGTGTAATGCAGTTTGGAGAGTGACTGGCGAGTGGAGGTATTGAAAACTTACATCTTCTACTAACGTTGGATTTCTGAAATCTAATTTGTCGTTCTTGTCTACTGACATCTAGGAAATAATAAACATATTAAATTATGCATAAAAATATAAACAAGTTTACTTTAAACTGAAAATAATGTATAAAACTACAATTTGAAAAACTACTTACATTTGAACAGTTGTTATCACTGTTTATTGAGAAAGCGTCACTTTCTTCTGGCCTTGTATCTATCATTACAGCTCGTTTAATTTGCTTTTGTTACTGAACATTCTGTTATACAATATGCTAAATACATGTATATGCTTCAATATCTGGAATTTATATCAAATATGATTTTGACTTAGGTCAGGAAATCATAAAGTATAATAAAATATATGAAATTGGAAAACATTGTCAACCTCCGCTGACAATGGTTTTCCTTGGGGTGTCAATTTCAAATGTTACCCTCCAAAACAGGCACCATTTATATAATACAATATGCTAAATACATGTATATGCTTCAATATCTGGAATTTATATCAAATATGATTTTGACTTAGGTCAGGAAATCATAAATTATAATATATAAATTGGAAAACCAATGAAATGAATAATGCCCTCTTAGATTTTTCCCGCCTCGTGTTTTTTACTAACGGCCACGATTTGTTTTTTAAAAGTGTGCATTTTTTTTTAAAGTTCCTACAACTGAATGTAAGAATTGTAAATTGTTTTCATGAAAAAATACAATAACTTTTTCTGTATGGACATGTATTGTGTGAAATTATTTTGAGTAGTATAGTTTTATCAGGATAATCTTTAGTGGACTTTTGTAAGATTCCACTAACAGAGACGGGGTTGCATGTGAGGACAGGGTGCATGAGTTTGGAAACCAACAACTTTCAATTTCAAAATAGTTTAACAAAAATATCCAACCTAGGAAAACCTTATTGCATCTTTTTATCATAAGGAAGAGCAGTCTCCTACAGTGGGTTGAATATATCGTTTGGTATCATCCCGCCCCTAACTTCAGAATCCTAACTAGGATTGTGCTTTTGCAAGATGATACTTACAAGACCACACAAAGAACTAAATTCTGAATGCTTGGAAAGGGAGGTGTGACCTCCACATTCTGTTTTAGAGACGCATAAAAACAGCCTGATACATAGAGTTGAACTTTGATATTTTAAACTGATATCTTGAATACAAGAATATTTAAAATAGAGTAGAAATCCCAAACTCTTCTACTTTATTTTTTTAAACTCTAACTACTTCGAGTAAGTAACACGCAATATCATATGAAGGAAATTACGGTTAGGTTTACCAATCAACAATAGCAACGGAATATTGTTCATCAGGTGAAAAACCACAGTTACAGTCGGGGTCAAAATAGTAGTTTATTTGTTAAAGTAGAAAAAATACTGACTTTCACATTTGAAGTGTTTTGTAAATGAAACTCATTATTAATTGCTTTAGAAAACAAACATATCCATCGCTTAAACCCGCAATATCAGATCACGTGATTCAATTGGTTTTATAGAAATTCAAACTTTCGTTTCGAAAGTGCTCGAGTTAGATATGAATACTGCCTTCCAAAAAATCGCCTACTTATGATATTACATTATCTCCTTTTCCTGTGCATGTGACTACTATCAAAGTAATACACAACACTTGAGGATACATTGAGGTAATGCAGATAGTTGGAGATTTATGGTTATTTATCACTCATACATGCACTTTTGTATACGGATAATTTTCAGTATTATAAATTATTTCATTAAATTGTAAATTAATTTAATCTGATTCGGTGGGGACTCTTTGTTTAGAAAACACTATTGTCCTCAGAATGATAAATCCACGCCCTCCATAACTTAGCAGCAGTCAACATTATACATTTATTGACTAAGTTCGAGGACAACATGCGTTTTGTAAGACCCAAGAACCAAACAGCTTTGATAGAGGGTCGACAAAACACATTTTGTCCAAGAACACAGTCAATAAATGTTTTGTTATACCTTTTATTATTTTTTGACATGCGTGTATCTTGCACTGTCTTCTGTGATGTATTCTAAAGTTAAACTTAGAAAATTCCGTCACCGTCGAACGCCATCAAATACAAATGATATATAGATCCGCCTATTGTGTGACGTAAGCGGTCCAAGATCTCACTCAGCGGTCAAACATCGATTTTTTTACCGCTCAGTAAAACATTAGAAACGTTAGACATTTCTCATACAGATTTGTACGGGAAAAATACTTGATTAAGGATGATACATTGTACATGTACACGTATATCCAAAAATTTTGAGTGTGCAGAAATGAATTCAAAGTCCACTTATATATACATTATGATACAGAATTATGAATACTGCATGTAATTGAGACTAAAGTTAAAAATGATCATCCCTCCAAAACCATGGTCAACCGCATCTGCACTTTGGTCAGCCATAGTTTCCTTGGAGTGAAAATTTTCAGTAATCATAAACTACTGGTTATATATTATATAAGAATGACAAAAGATTATGAAATAAATCTTTGTATTGGACGGATTTTATTGACAATTTAGCTATAGGATAATTTGTAGGTACATATATCACAGTCTCCTAAATTCATAGAAGTTAAGATTCCGAAGTTATATCAACCAAGTCACTTAAAACCTCCAAATCACGTGATACAGGTGTCTTCAAATTATCACTGATCCGGAAAATTTGTATACATCCTGTGGAATCTCCTGTAGCAATCAAATTGTGTCTGAAAAAAACAAAACAATTTCTTAATGAAGTTAAAAAAAATGAGATAATTTTAATCTTTGTGTTTATTTTTAAGCCCTTGTAATCAAAGATTTGGGGGTATATTATATAGTTTTTGTCTTGTTTGTTCATTCATCTAGCTGTCTGTCTGTTTGTCCACAAAAACTGTAACCTTGCTCATAACATTTGATTGGTTGAAGCTATTGCTTATCCCAAATACATGTATGTATTTCTTGTGTCAAGGCCTTTTTTGGGTACCAGTGTATTTGACCTCTTGACCATGACATCAGAGTTTGACTCACTTTTGCAAAATATTACCAAACTTTAACCTTGCCCATGCTTTTTGAATAGCTATTGCAAAGGCTCTCATACTTCACATATATATTCACATTGAGACAAGACATGGATATAAATGATTTTAATTTTTTGATCTTGACCTTTCAGTTTGACCCACTTTTATTATCTTTGATCTCGACCATAACTTTTGAACAGCTGGTACTAGGGCCTTCATATTTCACAGGTTAATTGCCTATGACAGGGCCTTTCTTGGGTCACCAAGAATTTTTACCATTACAATAGAGTTTTACACGTACATCCTTCTGAAAAACTTAAACCTTAGCCCTAACTTTTGAATGGTTGGAGCTTGGGCTTTATAGTCTCACATGTGTATTTCTTAAGACATGACCATTCCCTGGATACTAACAATTTTTACCCTTTTACCTTCACCTTGAAGTTTGACTCATATTTAAAAAAATAACCTTGGTCATAACTATTGAATGGTTGGTGCTTCATCTTTCATATTTATTAGGTACAGATGTATATTAATTGTTAATTGAGACAAGTCCTTTCTTTGACTAACAACACTCTGATCTCTTTACCTTGAGTTTGACTTTTAATTGAGAGACTTTAACCTTCACCTAGAGCTGACATCTTGTCGTATCAGTGTTTCATAAAAATTCTTGTTTTTTATATCTGTACATGTTCATTAATGAAACCTTTTATTATTGCCATCAAATGAAGCTCATTTTCTCAGTAATTCTAATTTACAGTGTACTGTTGCTTATTCTACAAATAACATGTACAACCTTCTTCTTCTTGCAAATCTCAATCTATATCCATATAAAAACTTGCCATCCATTGTGGTTATGCCTTCAGCAATCTTTTAACTCTTTTACCTGTGGAATGCTTGTGCATACCAATATGATTGACAACATGCCATGCCTCTTTGAGAAGATAATTTTTAAAGGATTTTCTTACATATTTTTCTGTGAAAAGTGTTGCCTTTAATTTGCCCAGTCCTGTTCCACTGTGGCAGTGATGTTAATAAATGTCTAAGTATTCATATATAGTGAGTACATATAAACATGTGTCTACTTACTGATGAGGGTTGAACTGACAGGTAAGTACAGGTGCCTTAATGTTCCCTATCTGCCCGCCAGCCTCCAGCTTATACACAGGGACTGGTTGATTCTGGTTCAGGTCATACAGTAGTAACAGACCAGTGTCTGTAGTGGCCGCAAACAGGGCTGGACGACTGAATGACCACTTCACGGAATAAATCACCCCCTCCCCTGGTTCAATGGTCATTATTGGCTGTTTCTGTATCATGTAAGATTTTGAAATTTAAAATAAGCTCTTAAAATTTAATATGTGGGATAAAAATTCATCAATGCAGGCAATGAAAGACAAAATTAAACAAAAATGTCATAGAAACAATAATCAGTCAACAAACTACAACAACAAAGCTAGCTATACCATATGTTAAACTAAAAGTAGGGCTCCAAACATTTCGTGTACATGAAAATAGGAAAAAAAGACTATCATAGATAAACCAAAATTAAATGAGAAATACCTGAAGCATATTATACAGACGTAATGTCTGGTCCATGGAACAGGTTAGAAAAGCATTCCTATGGAAGGGAGAGAACTCTGCTGAATACACAGGTCCGTAGTGATAGGCGTATGTGAAAGTCACTGGAGATCTAAGCTGGACAGATGATATAATATTACCTGTAATTAGAAAATGTTTAAAAATCTCTGATCTACACTTAAGAGCCTTATCCCTTTAACTCAAAATTGTTTTTTAAAAAAGACATAAAGTTAAAATGTGATATGTTAGACCGGTTCCATGAATTTTACTAAAAACTGACATGTTTATAATACAGAAAAATTATGATTCCCAACATTTGATACACATATAAGCAAAAATTTTAATGACAATGCATCTAGATAGTCAGAATAAATTCCAATAAAAACATCAATTTTCTTATTAAGGATTTATTTATTGAAAAGTAGTATATGAATAGAGATACATTACAATATTTAGAACAAGAAATCCAGAAAATGTTAATAATGCATATACAAACATTACGATGAGTCAACTGAAAGCAAAAACTTCCATCTCCAAGCAAAAAACATATTTTAATTATTTTCTACCATATTCAAAGATATTTTGAAATAGATGTATTTATAAATGCGCACACATGTACATGTATGTGAAATTTAGTAGCTCATACAATAGAATACAATTTTAACTTCAGAACATTTTTCCCTTTCAATCTAGGATTTTTTTTATGTATACTCTTCTACTGGTAAATGAAAACATGTAAAAAAAAAAAAAAAAAAAATGAAATACTGATATTTCATGTCCCAAATGTACATTGATTATTTAAAGAAAACTGAATTTTTTTTATAATTTTTATGTATATAGTTAGGACAACTATATACATAAATATTTCATTACATAAACAAAAAACACTATATTTAAGGCAATCACTCACATGTAAATATATTATAATTGTATCACTAATACGAATAGATACATGTTTGTGTGAACACTGCAGTCTTACCATCCCTGATTCGGTATGTTTCACTGCCACCTAAAGATTAGACAACTCTGTAAAACATTTCCTAGTAAACACTACTCCATGTACCGTCCCCTTAATTTATTTCATTACTATTAACACTTCAAACACAATAAACAGAAAAACCAAAATATTCTAAACAAGAGGCCCAGGGGCCACATCGCTCACCTGAGCAAATCAGCTAGGAAAAAGCACAAATGAGATCAGAACTGAAAAGTTTACTGAAGGGGGGGAGGGGGGCTTGAATTTAATACTACTTGAGAATACCTTCATATTAATACAGCATATTACTTTGCTGTTCTTGACAAAAAGATTTTTTTTAAAACATTTCCTTCCTATATATATAACTTCATAAAAATTTGAATTTAATTTCCCATTGTTTCCCTCACTACCCCAAAGGGCCATGATTTGAATGAATTTAAATCAGGATTTGAACAAACTTAATTCTACACTACCCGAAAATGCTTCTATATAAGAAAAAGTTTTTTAAATATGTATTTTAGTGTAAAACTTGGATCTCCCATTGTGACCCCACTCTATCCCTGGGGAATATAATTTGAACAAACTATAATCTAAACTACCTGAGAATGATTCCTTATAAATATCACTAATGATGGCTTTGAAGTACTTGAGAAGACCATTTTTAAAGATTTCCCTATCTAGTCCTATGTAAAACTTTGATCTGCAATTTTGGCCCCATCCTACCCCTGGGGGTCATGACTTGATCAAGCTTGAATCTACACTACCTTGAGGATGATTTCACATGAGTTTCATCTTTCCTGGCCCAATGTTTCTTGAGAAGAAGATTTTTAAAGATTTTTCCTATATATTCCTATGTAAAACTTTGATTGGCCATTGTGGCCCCACCCTACCCCCGGGGGTCATGATTTGAACAAACTTGAATCTACACTACCTGAGGATGCTTCCACATGAGTTTCATCTTTCCTGGCCCAGTGGTTCTTGAGAAGAAGATTTTTAAAGATTTTCCCTATACATTCCAATGTAAAACTTTGATCGGCCACTGTGGCCCCACCCTACCCCCGGGGGTCATGATTTGAACAAACTTGAATCTACACTACCTGAGGATGCTTCCACATGAGTTTCATCTTTCCTGGCCCAGTGGTTCTTGAGAAGAAGATTTTTAAAGATTTTCCCTATATATTCCTATGTTAAACTTTGATCGGCCATTGTGGCCCCACCCTACCCCCGGGGGTCATGATTTGAGCAAACTTGAATCTACACTACCTGAGGATGCTTTCACATGAGTTTCATCTTTCCCCCAGTGGTTCTTGAGAAAAAGATTTTTAAAGATTTTCACTATATATTCCTATGTAAAACTTTGATTGGCCATTGTGGCCCCACCCTACCCCCAGGGGTCATGATTTGAACAAACTTGAATTTACACTATCTGAGGATGCTTCCACATGAGTTTCATCTTTCCAGGCCCAGTGGTTTTTGAGAAGAAGATTTTTAAAAGATGCCATTAATTTTTCATTAATTCATGATTATCTCCCCTTGGTAGAGGGCATGGCCCTTCATTAGAACAAATTTGAATGCCCTTCACCTAAGGATAGTTTGTGGCAAGTTTGGTTGAAATTGGCCCAGTGGTTCTTGAGGAGAAGATGAAAATGTGAAAAGTTTACGACGACAACAACGCCGACAACAACGACTACAACGACGACAGACAACGGACAAATTTTGATCAGAAAAGCTCACTTGAGCCTTCGGCTCAGGTGAGCTAAAAAAATAAAGATCAGCTCGAAAGGAAGAATACTAATGTAACTTGATAAAGTAAAAACATATTCTCAATTACTTACAAGCCAGAGTAAGAGGGAAAGGAAGGGAAAAAAAAGTTTTTAAAAAAAGTAAATGTACATACTCCCTGCTGGTTCTCCACGTGCTGACATGGAACATTTAAACACTGCCCCGGGCTCCGAGCCAATCACAAAACTCTCCTTGTTCTCGGCATTGTACGAGATACAGGTCACGCCCACCTCCTTGTCGCTTCGCATGCTTCGGGATTTACGTAATTGTGTGGGGAGATTCATGTTCATCAAAACAAAACTACAACATGCAAAACACTGCTCTAAGAACATTAAAATATACATTTCCCTATCTCTGTTTTGTAGTCTCTTGTCATGCATGTTGAAACATAATATCTATAGTTATTTCAAATCTAAGCCACATGATTCAAGACAGCATAAAGTATCAAATGTGCATACCATATGGCATATTCTAACTCCTATTTCAATTGATACTGTATCATAAAAATCTTACCCATCATGCAGTTCTATCTGCTTTGTCTTCCTGTCCATTTTCCAAACGAGCATTTTACCATCACTGCTTACACTGACAAGCTATTTAAAGACATTGAACCTTGAATGTTTGATACATGCATTTGGTCTGCTTCAATACTTGAAAATTGTATCAAAACACACCTTTTCCAAATCACATTTCAACAATTAGGGTTCATGACAATTTTGTCATGACACTACATTTTATGTATCAGAATAGCCATGAAATTTCAAAATAAGGTCAATGTGACTTCAACTAGATCTACAACATACTTTTTTTTTTCTCATGAAGCATGTATTAACAATGTTTTTTTTAAATTCTAAGTCTTAGAGTCTGCAAAAATTGAATGATTTGGGCTTTAATTATTAGCTGTCTTGTAAAATGCAAGATGCATTGTTTTTACAAACATCTGATTCATCAATAACAAAGGCTTTACATGGCATGGAACATGTAAGTATCTTTACTTTCAATAGTAAATACATGTACTAGACATGTCTGGCCTTACCAAGTATTTGTTCTTTTTAAGTGATGATGTGTCTGATGCCCATATGACCTTAGAAACTGGTTCCCTGTGCGAGTCATCACCAAGTCCTGAAGACGTCAACACCATGTCATCATCACGACTCAAGTCCCACACAATCACAACACCTAAAACATAGGTAAATCGGAGTATATTGATTGTGAATCTACTGAAAATGACAAAGGAAATTTAGATGGCTAGGACATTTCCTTAGAATGAAAAGATAAAAAGTTCAATAAGTCGATCTTCACATGACTTGGGGAGAGGCAGAAACTAAAGCCATGACGAGAGCTGAGTGTCAATGTTTTGTGTTTATCTTATGCTTCATTGTGAGTAAAGAGGATAGACATGCAGGTATAACATGTGTAAACATTTCTATCCAGAAACCAAATCATTAAAATCTTTAAAAAATGTACAATTCAATGTAAAGATCAGTCTATATCAATTATTTATTTTGGTGCATGTTTCTTTAATCTCACCATTATAAGTTCCTCCAGCTATCAGGGCTGGGTTTGTGGGGTGGAATGCTGTACACATCAAACAACTCGATACCTCAAGAGTTGTGTCTGGTTTGTTTTCATCAAGATTGCGTCGTTCTAAATTCCACGTGCAGAGAGATGTTTTATGAGTACACCAGTCTTCATGATCAAATCTCCCATAGCTTTACCTTGTTAAGGACACGAGGTAAACACTCAAAATATAAATGGTCCAATTCTTAAGTTTTGTCAAAATTAAGATAAAACATAATCAATATTTTAGAAAAAACGTAAAGGATACGAAGCCGCTATTACTGCCCCTGTTGAGTTCCAAGACAAGCCTGTAATCTGAAACTAGTAAATATAAATGTTCATTAATTCATCCATTACATTTAAACATATCAAACTGACAGTATATATATTTTCAGTATTTCAAAAATTCATATTTGTAATACATATAAATATAAAATAAATTTTCATTGATGTCCTTATTGGTTACCTGTCCCTCGTGTGCGGCATTGGTGAGCTTGTGGATAGTTGACATTGTGGATGATCCTTCATCCCAAGACACCTCATAATCTAACAGTAAAACATGCAAAGCTTACAATAAACATAGCACAGTCTTGCATCATTTTTAATTCCCTCAAAACTTGTCTACTATAAATTAAAAATTAATATATGATATATGTATGTATTGCTAATAATTTAAGCAATAAAGTTTATTCATTCCAGAATGTAAGTAGTTTTACTAAGTACTAAAGAGTAAATAATCACTTCATTAAATTGGAGGAAAAAAGTGTGCAAAGCAATTGTCTCAAAAAAATGCTTACCATCAAAGGCATGGCTTTTTAAGTTCATTTCTAGCTGTTTACGCATAACAGGTTCGACTCGCTGCAAAAATTCTGCCAGTCTTCCAGAATCATCCTTTGCAAAGCCTGTAAACTTATCACTGTCATCCTCAGTCTGGGTCTAAAAATAAACACTTAACAGGTTACTGACAAACCTGAAATAAACTTCAATTTAATTTAACTAAAATTAATTTAATTTAATTTAACTTTTTTATTTGACACATATTTTAAGTTTCCCATAGCAAAACATGGACATTGCAATTATATTTTTACCTATGATGTCACATGTAGAAGCTTCTGGATAACGTTTGATAGGACGAGTTATTCCTCTTTACACATTACCGTAAAACAATATATAGCAACACCTGGACATTATGGGAGGCGGGGGTATCATTTAGTGAGCTCATTGCTCACAGTACCTCTAGTTAAACAAGATAATTTTTTGATGGGGTGGGGTGGGGTAACAGTATGGTGATGGTCCGTCCTAAGCACAGAGGCTTGCTCCAGATGAGCAATATTTATTTATTTAAAACCATATACATGACACTAAAGTTTAAGTATGATGTACATGATTTTAAAATTAACTAGAGGTATTGTGAGCAATGAGCTCACTAAATGATACCCCCTGCCTCCCATATAGTTATAACTGATAACAAAGTCCATGTTTTGCTGTGGCCGGGAAACCCAAAATATGTGTCGGATCAAAAAGTAAAATAGGAGGTGCACAATGGCAAAATGTAATAAAGATTCTGTGAAAGTTTCATTAAATCTCAATCATTGGTATAGGAGGAGTTTCGGATAAGAGATGGGTACCCTAAAGCATAACAGACAGATGGACGGACGGACATACAGCTAGACGGACGTACAGATGGACGGACATACCGATTACAGTATACCCTCCCACTTTTCAAGCGGGGGGTACAATAATAATTATACCCTGGGAGCACAAGCCCCCGAAACATGGTTTTATACAATGTAATTATGTTAAAAATCAGCTGCAGAGCTGTGGCTCTCCAAAATATATATTGATACTCAGAGAGGCCAGAGAGCTACAGTGCTATCCATTTTATAAAACTGTATATTTATTGCACACATATAAGTGTGCTGTTCCTCTATTTATTTCTCCATGTTTTTAAAACTGTCATCTCAAAATATTAATAACCTTGTGTTCCTAACATATTCTTTCAATATTTCCACACCCAAACATTTCATATAATTGTTGTTGATATTATCCCTCCTGGCCCTGAAATTGAGATCAATGAAAATTTCGTATATTTATACTGCCATTTTGGTTTGTATGATAATTCGGTCCAATGTGCAGCACTTCATGCAGATGTTAACTATTAGATTACTTGATAAAGGAGTAAGGAATTTGTTTAAATCTAGATTTTTGCAATTGAGGTAAGAATTTGGAAGACTAATTAATCCAGAACCTTGAAGCGCAACTTGTTGTGTGCAATAAATATTCAGTTTTTTCAATGGGTGGCACTGTAGCTCTCTGGTCTGTCAATATATTTTTTTTTTTCGGAGAGCTACATTTCTGTAGTTAGAAATGAGAATTCTATTATTCTACATAATTTTACAGGAGTTGCTCCTGTAATTACAGTGAGGTTAAACTATTTTCTTCGAAGGAAGTTTCACTGATATTTATATTTAGATTAATTTTAAGGTCTCACTTGAAAAAAAAAAATTAGACTATCAAACAGTGTTGACTAACTAGTTCTTAGCAGGTCATACCTCAACACGCACTGCTCAAAACACAGCATTGTAGAGCTGTCAGGCTGTAGTACATGTAGGCCTAGCCTGTATATTTCAAAAAGAACAAAATCTACACCAACCTTCACAGTTTTGTATTTTACTGATTGACATGCCACTTCTTCATACACAAGATCAGCAGTCTGACATCCACTACTGGCCAACGATCTGCAGAAAAATTATGGAGACACTCAGACAGGGAATGATTAGGCTATAGACAGGGACCTATATATAGTATATAGGTCCCTGGCTATAGAATAGATTTCAAAATACTTTAGGTTAACATTCACTTTAAGCACACAAGAAGAAATAAATGAATTCAGCATCAGTTTACCTTTCTTTCTTCCAGTTTGATTTAAATGTTACTGCTTCGAGTGCTATATCAGTAAACATATTTAAATGATTTATAATTTTAAGTTTTGTTTACGTTAGCCACCATCACCGGAATGTTGAATTAAAATTTTACGAAATCTCGATCCCGAGCAAAATAGCAAGAAACGTACGTATTGGTCATGAAAACACAGCACAAGTCAATAAGTGAGAATTTGTCTAAGGACCAAACATCAGAAAGACAATTTGTTGTAAATTAAGGGTCATTTTGTACGGTAACAACATTTGTCAATGCATGTAATTTGTATTTGAAGTGGAAATACACTGTAAATAAAATGTACATGTTTATAGAAAAAGACAAAATATATAAAACCATAACGCTACAGATCTGCAGCTAATAGAAGACAGTCTTATACTCTCTTTCTCTTTCCATATATCTCTCGCATCTTCAGAAACAATTTGAAATTCGTGTGTTCTAAAAAGGTTATAGCAATTTTAATTTGCGATTCAAAAGTTTTGTTGCCCAGCAAAGAGTAGTTTTAAGAGAGACCAATAAAAAAAAATTTAAAAAGAGTTTTAAAATGAAAAAAAACTTTTTCAATTCTACGTGTAAATTGGAGGGGTGGGATGGGGAGGGGGGGTGGGTGGGTGGGGAGTGGCAAATGGCTGCAACCTCAGTGCAGTTTGCATCCCCTTCTAAGTTTAATTAAAACAGATAATTTATATTATGAATTCATTTCGTTTAAAAAATGATCTATTTTTCAAAGAATATCATAACGGCAATGTAATATTACGTGTAGTATACATAACGGTTCTTTCAAAGTACTCGTGCAGGTTCGAGTGTAAGCAATTTAATAATTTATTAGCCCTAGGTTGACAGTGGTTCCAGAGCAAGTATATCGGAAAATTATAATTGATTATGTAATCCACAATGTTAAATAATGAGACTTTTAATCACTAAAGTTTCTAGATGTTACTGGCAACTTGCAAACTTCACACAATTTCCAACTTTTCTCTTAAATCAATACAGGACCGATTATTCTATTGTTTGCAAATATGATAGCTAAGTCGAAGCAGGGGATTAAATTTTGTGTTTAACTTTTTGTTCGCAATTTAAATCTATACTGCGAGTGTTGTCTTTTTCTGAAGACTTTAAAATTTTTACTCTCAAATAATCTTTAAAGCGATGATGCCACAAAGAATTCTTATTTGTTTATGCGCGGGGTGGAAGGGAGGGGGGACTTTTCTATGCAAATGGCATAAGTATATATGTGAAAGAGATTAAGCCTGTATGAAAATTGTCCAAAGAAATCGTCAAAAACATTGTCCCTGCACGGGGCCAAGACAGAACACAATAAAAGGTTATTTTTCCCGATAAAAAAGGTGGTGTGGTAAGAGAGAGAGAGAGAGAGAGAGAGAGAGAGAGAGAGATTTTGAAAGAAAAATACTCTTTTATGAAAAAAGAAACGAAATGAATAGGCATTGCTTTATTGATATTTCATTAATATTTTTAATGAGACATTGCATATATATACTGTACAGTGGTTTTCAGGAATGGATGGTTTAGTGATACATCTTAAACCAGGCACGTAGCATCGAGTTTGAAAGTGAGGGGGGGGGGGGGGGGGGCAGCCACTGAAATTTTTTCTTTACTTATCTGAAAAAGCTGACAACCAAAATAAAAAAAAAAAAAAAAAGGCAAACTTTTTTCAATACCAATTCTTTTCAATATCCATTTTTAAGCTTACAATACTATATTTCCTTCATATTATTTTACTTTAGTATAAAGTGGGGGCGGGGGCAACCAGCCTTTCAATGAACATTTTCAATAGTAAAAGTATTGTTGGCAAAAAAAGTGGGGGGGGGGGGGGGGGCAGGCCCCCCTGGTCCCCCCTCCCCCGTTGCTACGCCCCGGTAAACTGATCTACGAATTAAGACATTAAAATTATATCTCCCGGAAACAATATATCGTATTTTTTCAGATAAGTATATTATCTTCTTTATAGATTTTTTTTCTCTCCAATTCATGGTGGTTGAAGCTATATGTTCACTTTACATTGATCGTCCAGCTGACAAATCTGAAAAAAAAATTATCTTGAAGACTTTTAAACCTCCTAAGCTATATAGAGAATACTACATACTAAAATCCATATCATATGTAATATCAGCCCGAATGGCGTCATATCAGCCCGAGTGGCCCCATATCAGCCCGAGAGTTGATATGGGGCCTGAGGGCTGATATGACATATGATATGGATTTTAGTATGTAGTATTCTATTTATCATATATTTAAGATACTTAATATGCGAATTCACATAAAATCATAGAAGAATATTTCGTGCATGTTTATGATCTTTTTCTTTAAAATTAAATAGAAAGTTCAAACAATTTTAGGTAATTGAAAAAAAAAGAATGTTATCAAAGAATTATTTTACATATATTTAAAAAAAATTAAGTACATTAAGAACTTTATACAAGCGTTACTTCCGGTTTGTTATGGATTTTCTGCCCGCCGGTCCGATCCGTGATATGGATTTTCGGACCGGTTCTTGATACCGGTATAGGGTATTGTAACGTCACCCGTATCGCACCGTGCAGGATCGGTGTATTTACTACTAAGTATATGATGATAAATAGTTATTATGTTCCCCAAACGAAGTTGGGGAACATATTGTTTTTACTCTGTTTCTTATTATTAAGGTCTTCCGTCTTCAGCGGAAGACCTTCTTGTTATTCTTCGGTTTCTTTTTCACTTTTTTTCTTACCTATTATTATTCTTTTTTTTCTTACCGATTTTGTGCACGCGATTTCTCAAAAACGGCTCGATGGATTTCCATGAAACTTTCAGGACTCATGTAACATTACTTGAATTTGATTCATTTTTTTCCCTTTTGATGACGTCACTTCCGGTCCGGAAATATTGTCGATTTTATGATTTTTGAAGGGTCAGGTTGTCCGCGAACGTTCTAAAAACTGGCTTAAGCTAGAAACGTGAAAATTTCACGTATGATAGTCCTAAGTCTATAGATGTGCAAAATGAATTTCATTTTTATCGGAAGTGCCGCGCGTCGGCGCTCGCTATGGCCCGAAAATTGTCCTATCGCGAATTTCAAATTTTTAACAACCTTTTCTATGATATCTTTTTACTTTGAAATATTTTGTTATAACATATAGAACAAAAGAAGTGTAGAATTCCAAGATCTTTCAAATGATATCTCGAAAAAAGGGCTGGCCCCTAAAATTAAGGGACTGGAGGGGCCATAAGTTTTTCCTTTATATCTCAAAAAGTATTGAGAATTTGTAATACATCAAAGAAGCAAAGTTGTTCAAAATTTCAAGCTTAATCTACGGGCGTCGTCAAAATACGTCTTACGACGTCACTTCCGGCCAAACCGGAAGTAGTCGGAAAACGCGTATTTTGGTCATTCTTGACAAGTTTTTGGGTATCTTATGTCAATAGGAACATAAAAATAAATTTTCCGTCCGTCGTCGTCACTTCCGGTCAAACCGGAAGTAGCAAAAAATGGCTTATTTTTGCATTAATTAACATAGATTTTGAGGATTCAACCAATTTTGGGGCGTTATTTCTCATATTCGTTAAAAATGAAAACTACTTCCGGTCAAACAGGACGGAAGACCTACTCGTTGCTTTGCAACGAGCTTTGCTCTAGTTATTATTATTATTATTATTTTTCTTCTTCCTGGGAAAATCTTTTCCGCGAATGATCTTGTAAACTACACGTCCGACTAAGGTGAAACCTTTTTAGGGTCAGTAGGCATGTTATGTAGATTTGCGGAACGAAGGTCATTTTGCGCGCACGTGCTTGCAAGAGCGCGCACGTGCAACGCGTGAAATGACCAAAATAATAGATACAGCCGTAACTTTTCTATTTTCTGATTATATGCTTTGATACTCACAATATAAGTATATATTAGTAGTATAGACGTGTTGACATGGTCAACATAGCAAGATCTCACGCGCATGCACGTGCGCTTCGCTCTGATTGGCTGAAACTAAAGTCTCAATATCTTTCTTGTTTTTCGTCATAATCCTTTGAAATTTTGAACTTAGTCACACAATATGAAGATCTACAGCATGATATATATTAATTTTCATGAAAGCACGTACATGCGCGTGTGCTGGCAAGAGCGCGCACGTGCAACATGTGAAATTACCAAGATAATGGATGAAGCCATAACTTTTCTATTTCTTGATGGAATTTTTTGAAACTCACAATGCATGAATATAGTAGTAGTATGGACAAGATGGCATGGTCAAAATTGCAAGATCTTGCGCACATGCACGTGCGCTTTGCTCTGATTGGCTGAAACTAAAGTCTCAAAATCTTTCTTGTTTTATGTCATTATCCTTTGAAATTTTGAACTTAGTCACATATTATGAAGATCTACCGTATGATATATAAGAATTATCACGAAAGCACATAAATCCACGTGTGCTGCAATCTGATTGGCTGAAACTTTACATGCCTAAATCTTTCTTGTTTCTCAACAAAACAGGATGAAGTTTAGAATATGAATAGGTATTATGGATTCCTACATGATATTGTTATCAAAATTGAACGAAGGACGTGCTTGCATGCACATGCGCACACGCAATGCGTAAAATGAACAATATGTTTGAAAACGGTAAAATTTATATTTTTATGACTTTTCATTGATTTCTGGAATATAAAGATATGTTAATGGTTTAGACAACATGTCATGATCACCTTGCATGTGCATGCACGTGCGTTTGCGAAAATATGCATTAAATGACAAAAAATGGATATCATTGTAGCTTTTAAAATTCTTTTATGAAATCCTGCGATACTAAGCATATTGAAAAAAGTTTTAAAGGAAATTTGCACAAAAAGGGAGTTGGGGAGCGTTTGGGGAACATCTGTAACGGTCCTCGTTACAATTAGAACTAGTTATATATGGATGTCATTGGATAAAACATAAAAAATGAACGTCTTTTGTCTACAGTCTTAAAAAAAAATACACAAACATAACCATATATTTTCCTTCTGTTACAGCTCATAACCTATTGATTTCGTTAATCACTTGATCTAGCTGTTTCACTCCGAGCATTGAACTATTTATGCGTTTTCTAT